GAACTTTGATGTAAAATTCCAATTAATGAGAAAAGAGTTGAACACTGAGAATTGAAGAATTCAAGACCATTATCTGATCTTATGATCTTAATTGTGGCAGAAAACTGATTTTTGACAAGAGTGAGGAATGATTTTATTAGAAGGAAGACAACACTTTTCATTCTCATCAAGCAGATCCAAGTCATCCTAGAGTAATCATCTACAATAGTAAGGAAATACTTGTATCCATTGTAAGTACATTGTCTATATGGACCCCATATATCCATGTGTACAGGTTCAAAAGGAAATATACTCTTCTTTGTACTAGTAGGAAAAGAAAATCTAGTTTGCCTTGCTAAAGTACAATTCAGAGTGTCTTTATTCAACAAGTGATTTTCAATAAAGGAATTTTTTGTGATACTGCTACTAGAGCATGACCAAGTCTTTGTTGCCAAATGGAAGAATGTGAGCATGACTTTTATGAGACATTAGATGACTCTGGGACTGGAGTAGTAGAGGCTGGAATTGTTGAAGGTATAAAAGAGTTGAAAGAGGGAGCTTAAGGTGTTTCGGGTACTTTAACAAGTGGTGGTATCTTGGCAGGTTGAAGTATGTAAAGTCCATTCTTCTCCTTATCAATCCCCCTCACTCTGCCATTGTAAAGGTCCTGAAAAATACAGAATTTAGGAAAGAATAATGCACAATACTTTAGTTCTTTAGTTAGCTTTGAAACAGATAACAGATTGTATTTGAAGTTAGGAACATAAATAACATTATACAGTTCTAGGTCATTAGAAAAGGTTAATGATCATGTATGTGTTACTGAGGTAGTGTTACCATTTAGCAGATGTACTTTACTAGAGTTAGAAGCAACAGAGTGAAATTCAGTTAAGAGGTCCAAGCTAGAAACCATATGATTCGAGGCTCCAGTATCTATGACCCAAGAGTTAGTTTCAGAACCTACAGAGAAGCATGCATTAAGGAGATAAACCATATCTGCCATGTTTACCCTTGCATTTGTTGTTGTTGGTTCCTTGTCAATTAACTTCAACAGTTGGTGATACTGTTCTAGAGTGAAAAATGGCATACTGATGGGCCCTGATGAGCTGCCTACTAAGCTGGTTCCTTCAGATTCCCCAACACAGCTCACATTGTTTGCTGTAAGTCCCCTGCTTCCTCCTGAATTTCCCTTGTCAAAAGTTCTCCTTTTGTTGAATTTTTTGTCGGGTGGATAACCTACCAACTTATAGCAATTCTCTTTCGTGTGACCCTTCATAAGACAGTAATCAAACTGCAATACACTATTTTCATTGTTCTTTCTGAATCTATTACTCTGGATGGAAGCCAAGGCTATAAGGTCATTCAAATCAAGTTATTGCAAGGATGGAGCTACATGTGATATCATGTTTGATTGCACTCTTTGGCTTTCATCCTGCATGATCATATTGTATGCCTGATTGAGAGTGGGAATAGGGACACTCAACAACACTTGACTCCTTGCTTGTGCATATGTTTCGTTTAAGCCCATTAGAAATTGTACCAGTCTTTGTTGTTCCTTGTTCTCTGCATATTCCTTATGCTTTGTGCATTCACATGGCAATGGTACCACTACCATCGACCAATACTCATCCCATGCACATATCAACTTTGAGTAATATTCTGACACTGATAAACTCCCTTGGCTAGTGGTACAAATTTCTCTGAGCAATTGACAAAATCTAGTGAGATTTTTCTTATCAAATATTTCCTTCAGGTATGTCCAAGCACTATAGGCATTGGTTGAGTACATTATACTATTTGCTAGTTCTTTAGACACTTAATTAGTTATCTAGGACAACATAAAAGCATTACATCTCTCTTATTCATGTTCCAAATCACCATTATATTGTTCTTTCCGACATTTTCAATCTATGAACCCTATCTTATTTTTGGCTAATAAAGCTACTCGCATAGAATTATTCCAAGTGGTATAGTTTTCTATTTCCGTTAGTTGTTGAGGGATTAGAACACTACCTGGACTGTCGGAGGGATGTAAGTATAGAGGATGTCTTGGGTGTATGTCCGTGAACTTTTCTCCGTCATCCTTCCCGGTTTCCAAAGTTGTGTTCGTCATCGACGAGGCTTGGAATCAGTGAATCGAAGGTAGAATCAAGGTCGATCTTCAAGGAAAACCTTGCACTTTGCTGGAATTTGCGAATTATGAGATCAATCGCAAATCCTAGGTGAATTGCCCAAAATTCTGACGAACTCTCTTGATCTCTCACTTCTCCGACAAAATTGAGTGAGTATATCAATACTAATCTTAGATTCCTCAAAGAATCTGCTCGAAAACCGACATGGATCTATAGCTCTGATACCAAATTGAAAGGGAGAAGAGAGTTGCTCTTCAAGCTAAGAATGAGAGAAAACGAGAGAAGAAAGTTCTAGAAATTTTGACTCTATTATTTCATCTATCTTTACATGTGTGTAACCCTTTACATATATATCCCTTTTCTAACTTCTTCCAGCAATACATTTAACTATCTATTAGTGCTAAACTAATACTAACCAATTATGTACAACTATCATTGCTTATGTACAACATTATACTGCAAATGTTGATTTCGACAATTATATGTATAACATAAAATGAAAATAAAAAACACTACTAAAAATCTTCTACATAATCTTTTACTTTTTCAGCTTCTTGGTAAAGTAAAAAATATGGAAGGGAAAAGGCTGGGAGCTGCTGCTCATGATTGCAACTCTCAGTTTCCGTTCTCGATTGGTTTATATTCCATAGAAGCTAAGCGGAAATTTATGCATCAACCTTCAAAATTATTGTAATTTGTCTGCAAGTGTAATTCCTTGTAATTTGTCAAAACAAACACTTTTTTGCAACCAGAGAATGTGGTACGATGAATGCGATTCCCCCGCTTTTAACCAAATATTTCGAATTTGAGTTCATAAAATTCAAAATTATTGAGTTCAATCAGCCCAACGATACTCTTAACATGGTATGATATTGACCGCTTTGGGCTAAGCTCGTATGGTTTTACTCAAAAGGTCTCACATCATTAAAAGATTCTTACACCTTATATTTAGGCTCCCATTCTTTTTAGATATCAATGTCGGACTTTATTCGCACAGTCAACAATTTCCTACTCGAACTAAGTTCCACGTAGCCAGTTACCACGATCTACGGGTCTCCCCTTCGTACCAAGTTGCATGCAACCCAGTACCACGATCCACGGGTCAATTTTCGAGATTCATTGTGTCATCCATATTGCTACAGTATTATGGTAACTGAAGCCCGCAACGATCTTCTTCTTGTATGCACGCTGCCCCGCACATTACTTTGCCATTTCCATATTGGTCTAGTTGAACCGAAGCTATGGTATCAGTTGGTGGGCTCAATCAGCCCAATGATACTTTTAACCTTGTGTGATATTGTCCGTTTTATACTAGTACGGAACGCTTTTCCCTTAAATGAATCATATACAACACGCATCTGAATTAGTAATGTCAATACATTCTAAATACTGGAGTATATGTTTATATCAAAGACACTTTTAGCAAAAATTCAAAAATTGAATCTGAAAACTCAAATTTTGAAAAATTTCAACAAACACCATTAGTGTTCGTCATTGAATGCAACCACAGACTCTTAGGATAGCCAAGAAGATTCCATAATCAGCTGCTCCCTCCAGCAGACGTCCAAGGACTCGTCAAGATACCAATTGCAAGTAGGACCTTTTCTAAGTTAATTTGACAAAGAAATGTGTATATGAATTTTAAAGATAAGAGGAATTATTTTGTCCCCAGACAAAGACTATCTAGTTTGTACACATGATGTTTTTGTCCAAGAAAACTTTGTCAAAATCCACTCTACTTTATCACCTCATTATACCCTTATCCAAATTTTGTGCCTTTCACCTTGAGCTCCAGCACAGACTCACTTCTGCAGTCACCATCAAGTTTATATGGCAACATTTTCCTTTTTGGTTTATTAATATTTAAAAATAATTTAACTTAAGTTTTTCTGGGAAATTTTATAATCACAGAACTATTGTAAAATTGAAGGGTACTTAGCGTAACTGGTAAAATTGTTGTCCTGTGATTAGGAGGTCAAGGGTTAGAACCGTGAAAATAGCCTCTTGCAAAAATGTACAGTAAGATTGTGTACAACAGACCCTTGTGATCCAACCCTTCTCCGAACCCTAATGCGTAGGAGTTTCACGCACCGGACTGCCTTTTTTTTAGAACTATTGTAAAATGTTTAAAATACAAGTTTCAAAAATCTTATAATCACATAGTTAATGTTATGACATATTTATTACTATAAATATCAAAAGTTCACTTTTCTAAATCCCGCACCTATTAAAACTTTGCCACAGAAATTGGGATGGATACATAGACCTTATTCTTACCTTGTGCTGATTTTGGACTCAAGATTGTATTAAAAAATAATTTTTAAAAGTTAATGTTGTATTTGAACATGCATTATACTTTTTAAAAAACTAAAATTTTAGGAGTGAAAAAAAAATTAACATTTGGACTCAACCACAACACAACAACAAATTAACCAAGTGGCCCGCAGTGAAATCGCATATATGGACCGGAGAGTAGTGAGCACGCCGACTTTATCCCCATTTTGTGTGGATTTTGGATTCAAGATTCAATAATGATATATTTCAATATCAATCACAAAGGAACAGTTTGCAAAGAAAATGCATGCCACTTAAACACACAGACAACAGAGTGAAAACTGCACTAATCTCACATAAAAATAACAACTTAACAAGGATTAGAGATCTCCCTACTGTAAATCTTGAAACAGCCACTAAACAAGTACAACCCCCCACCCAC